TTGAAATGACTTGGAGTATAATTAACAGTGAAACGGGCAAAGTTTAACCACGCAACTCTGAATTTTAACTGAATATTAACAATAATTTAACTAAATCTGATCAAGAAGTAGATATTGCTTTGAGAAACATTTTAATGATGTTCTTTTCTTGACAACAAAAGCATTAAATTCTTTTCCTACTCTCGCCGAATTATTGCTTAAAAAATGTAAAGGCTTGTTCAAATATTTTTAAATTCCATGGAGCACTGCCAAAAGATATTATTAAATATTTTAAAACTATTTATGTTAAGCCTTATGAGGAATTTCCATTAAAGTTATTACATCCGTAACAGATACAATAGCACCTTATCTAGCCACTATTTTTAATACAAGCTTCAAATCTGGCCTGTTTCCTGATTTAATGAAACATAGTAAAGTTCTACCTTTATTAAAATCTGATAGTACATCAAACCCCGCCAATTTTCAACCAATTTCTGTACTATCAACTTTAAGTATGAAAAAATATTTTACATCAGATGATAAGTTTTTTTTAATAAAAATAAATTGCTACATACAATTAGTCATTTTGGTTTTACAGGGGTTCGTTCGACAACCGATGCTGGAATTGAGCTTAGTAAACATATTTTTTGGGCATGCGAGAATTCAGAGGATGCTTTGGGTATATTTTGTGACCTTTCCAAGACCTTCGACTGTATTCACCATGAGACATTAACCAGGAAGCTACAGTAATATGGTGTCAAGAACACAGCGCTTAAACTAGTTATTTCACACACGCAAAATTTGTCAGAATAGCTTCCTAAGAGCTCAAAACTTCGAGGTCTGATGAGAACCGGAGTGAAAACAATACTTCTTATGTTTACTTCCCTTTTTTTCTAAATAATTGATTTTCATAGCGGGAAGCTATAAATCCCAATTTCAATAGAGAAGATGGGTGGGCGCAAATATCTGCTTGAGATCCCAAAATTTATAAAATTAAATCCATACCCAATTATACCACTGTAAAACTTCAAGATACTGTAAGCTCGTTCTGCGTAGATCGGACCAAAAATTAATACTCAAAAACTGAAGGTAGCCTACGTAGCTATGGCACTTACTTGTAAACAATTGAAAGGAATAACTAAAATATGGCTAGCCAAAATATCCTAATAACATTGTAGAATCTATCAATTTTAATTATTTTTCTGACGATATCATACGCTTTCGTTTTATCCGCCCTTCAAATGAAAGCTGAATTACAAAGGAAATGATATAAAATATTAATTATTCATAAACAAATTTGTTTATTTTTGAGCACGCAAGGATGAAAGTAGCCCTATTTAAATTAGTAATGAACGGACGAAAATATTCCCTTTTTAACAGAGTTAAAAAAACGAGAAGGTTCTATATTCGTAAAACGGCTGAACCGTTTTAATTGATTTATTCTTTCTTTTTAAATAGATTATATTTTAGTGTTGGTTTCATTTAAAGGTACAATTCCATATTTATTTAAACAACAATTAAAAAAAACAAGAAACACATATTCACATTGACCTTGCCACAGCTAGTAAAAAACAACCTTTAAAAGGTACGATACCCTATTATTTTAAGCCACAGAATAAAAATGTACAGTCAACAAATAATTTTTTTCGTGAACAAATCTAAATTGAATATATTACATCAGAACATTGCAGGACTTTTCAGCAAAATTGATTCTTTGGAAATAGTATTGGATTAATTAAAAACAACAAAAATAGATGTAGACAAAATATGTTTAAGTGAAACTTTTATTAAAAAAGGAATAGAGAACATTATTTCCATTGATAATTTTAAACTAGCCGCAAGCTTTTCACCTCTTAATGAAAAAAGAGGTGGTAGTTGTATTTTTGTTAAGAAAGGGATTAAATACAAATCAATTGTGATAACAAACGAATTAGGCTGTGAGTATTGTTTTGAATGTTGTGGAATTTAAATTAAGTCAATTAAACATGATTATTATCTGCATATATAGAATACCTAAACCTGAAACATTGCCAGCATTTTTTGAAAAACTTAATATATTATTACAAAATCTGACTAATAAAAACGGGAGCACTAAATTAGTATTAACTGGTGATTGGAATATAGATATATTAAAACAGACTAAACCAACAGTTGAATTAACAAGTATATTAAATAATCATAATATTGACTTTCACATAAGAATACCTACTAGAAATAAAGCGTGTATTGATCATATTGCTAGCAACATAACACAAGCTGATTCGGGCATTCATTTTCTGGGTTTGTCAGATCATGAAACAGACCCTCGGCGTAAATATGTCTGAAAAACATATAACTACATACTGTTTTGAATATAGAAAAGATTATTGTCAAAGTAATATAATTAAGTTTAATCATTGCATGCGGGCATTATCCTGCCTGGTCTGACATATATACAATAGAAGATATTGACGTAGCTTTTTACTATTTTCATGATCTATTTTTAGTTTTTTATAATTTGTGCTTTCCAAACATTGGAATAAAAATAGTAAATACAAATATGAGAGCGCGGTGGATTACTAAAGGAATAAAAAAGGCAACAATTACAAAAAGAAATATGTATTTAAATAATATATTCATAGCAATGCTAATAAAAATCTAAATAAACAAAAATTCAACGCTTATAGTCGCATATTGAAAACATGTATCCACACTGCCAGAAAAAATGTAAATAATAAATATATAGGCAACAGTTCTAATAAATGCAAAGCAACTTGGGATGTTATCAAAAACAATATAATGTGTAAACCACACTCTCAGGGCGTACATTATATAACGTATAATAACATTAAGTACACTGATGCACAAAAAATTGCGGAAGTTTTTAATAACCAATTTATAGGTAATATTACAAAACTCGACAATAATCATAATCCTCTTAAACAGATTGTAACGAATGACAAAACAATTTTTCTATATCCTACGGATTGTTATGAGGTTCGTAAAATAATAATGAATCTTTATAATAGTAAATCTCTCGGATGCGACGAAATTTTAACGAAAATATTAAAAGCGTGTGCAAATAGCATATCTGAAATTTTAAGCTTTTTGATAAATTTATCGTTTTGTAAAGGCATCTTTCCATCGAAGTTAAAACAAGTAATTGTAAAACCACTTTTTAAGAAAGGTGACAAGGCAACAGTAAATAATTATAGACCAGTTACTCTCGTGCCTGTGTTGTCGAAAATATTTGAAAAAGCTATTTGTAATAGATTAAACTTATTCTTTACAAAGCATAATATATTAAATCGGGAGCAGTTTGGATTTGTAAAGAAAAGTTCAACTACACTTGCATGCTTTCATCTTATTAAATTTGTCACCGAAAGCATATCTCAAAGGATACCTGTAGTAGCAGTACTATTAGACATGACTCAGGCCTTTGACTACATAGAACATGACATTTTGCTTCAAAAATTAGAAAAATATGGTATTCGCGGTGAAGCAAATAATTGGATAGCTAGTTATTTGAAAGACAGAAGGCAATGCATTGAAATCTGTAAGATAGTGGCTAAAAACAAACAAATAAAAAAATCATCATATAGATCAGATTATAAAATTATTAAATATGGTGTTCCACAAGGTAGTATTTTAGGCCCGCTTTTATTTTTAATTTAAATCAATGACCTACCTCAAGCTACGAAAGAAAAATGCATTCTTTTCGCCGATGATACAACCCTAATAATAAAGGCTAATGACATAAATAATTTTAATAATCAAATCAATGACTCTATTCGTAACGTAGTTAAATGGCTTGAATTAAATAACCTTAATATTAATTTTGACAAAACAAAAATAATACAATTTACGACATACAAATAAAAAAAATTAGACATTAACATTAAATTTCATAATAAATCGATAGAAAAGGTACAACCTGCAGTATTTTTGGGTATCATACTTGATGAACAATGCAATTAGAAGGAGCACATTTTTAAAATTTGTAAGAAATTAGACCGATTTGTTTATGCTCTAAGACGATTACGGAGAACAGTGTCGCGAGAGGCAGCTCTATGTGCATATCATGGTTATGTTTCCTCAGTTCTAAGCTACGGGTTATTGTTATGGGGTAACTCTACCGATAGCCAGAAAGCATTTGTAGTACAAAAAAAATGTATTCGCGCTGTATGCAATTTGGGGTACTGTGAGAGTTGTAGACCCCATTTTAAGAAATTAAACATTCTTCCCTTACCGTGTATGTATGTGAGGGATATCTGTTTGTTTGTAAGACAAAATTTATTTATAAAACAGTCTGATGTAACACAGAGGCATACTAGGAACAAAAATAAATTATACTTGCCTAAATCAGAAACCTCGTTCTTTAACAGGAATGCTTTCTACGTGGCAATCCGTGTATACAATCGTCTGCCAGACACAATAAAGAATGAAACAAGTCAAACGTTTAAACGAAAGTTGATAGAGTGGCTTCTCAGCAAGTGTTTTTATAGTCTTTATGAATATTTTAATAACTAATTTTGTTTGTAAAATTATTATTTAATTAATATAATTATAATAGTAAATATAGGTGACATATATAGCAATTTGACGATGACATGTATTATTACTGATTTTCTCTTTGACACATTTATGACAATTTGTATAATATTTGTCCATAATTAGTTTTTTATAGTTTTGTATTAAAATTTTATGTCGAAATTAAATTAAGACGATTTAATATTTGTACGCCTATAAAAGAGGCAGAATAAGTGAACTTCTGTATTAGATTTAAGACCATTATGTATTACCTTATTCTGACAAATAAATAAATAAAATAAAATAAATTTTAGGAGAAAATCCTTCTCTAAAATGGTGATGGCAACTATTTAGAGCAGTCTCGCGTCTGGCGTCAAGCGAGTAGCACGCGTTCACGCACATCGTTAGTGTTTACGTTCGTTGCTTGTTATTGCTTACTTACGCGTGTGGGTAGGGCTGCGCGGCCTGCTTATGCGCAAGCTTACTCAGTGGTACTTGCGGGTATACGCAAAATGACGGACGAGAATGAAGAATTCAACAATAATATTATGTATAGCGATAATGCAGAATTAGAAGTAGAAGAGAGGGATAGTATTGGTAAAAATACGCCTAGGATTATTAAAAGAATCAGAGAAACGGAGGAGAGTGATGACGAGTGGAGGATTGTGAAGGGAAAGGGCAAGAAAAAACGATTGCACGAGGATGAGAGCTTAAGTACAGAAACAGATATCGAGGTATACATTATATGCAGTGAAAAGCTGCCCAAGCAATTTGCTTTAGCACGGTTATTCAAAGAAAATTGGAATTACTAATATAATTAGAGTGAAATACTTAAATCCATTTAAAGTAAGGTTGCAATTTTCGAATGAGGACAATGTTCAAAAATTAAGTACCTGTGCGACATTCATTTCTATGGGATGGAGAATTCAAAAGGCGATGGAGGTTAACTACTCTTACGGAATTATAAGAGACGTGGAGTTAGAAATGTCTGAAGAAGAAATTATGAAAAATATATCATGCCCAGATTCTACAGAATTAATATCAGTTAAAAGGCTTAAGCGACGAAGTTGCACGAAACAAGAAGGGTGGTGTCCAAGTGAAACCATACGGCTTTGTTTTAAAGGGTCCTCTCTACCTTCATACGTATATATTTTAGATATGAAAATAACTGTTCAGCCATATGTTTATCCCGTTTCACAATGCTCAAAATGTTGGAGGTTGGGTCACATTCGCAAGTTATGTCCATTTAAGAAAACAATATGCCCGAAATGTGGGGGAGAACACGAGAATTGTGACACTAAAACATTCAAATATGTCAATTGTTCTGGAAGTCACATGGCTTTAGCTAGGACTTGCCCTGCTTACCTTAAAGAAAGAAGGTTGTGAGAACTTATGGCCGAGTTTAATTGTACATACAGAAGGGCTTTAACAATCTATGTTGCGCCAACACCACATAGACAAATGTACCTAAAATTTATAGAACAAGATAACATCCAGCAGGAGTGTAATTATAACACACCGAAGAGGGAAGTGGCTAAAGTCCAAAATGTTCCTAAATGACGGCCAATAGCATATTGAATAGTGAACACAATATTAGCCAATGTGAAAGTAAGGTATCGTCGCCCCGCCGGCGCCAAATAAAAAAGGATAAAAGAAGTACAGAGCGTGACACGTCATTACAAAGTAATAGATTTGAACCTAGTACTAGCTATAGTGAGGCAAATAACAACGAATCTTCTAATAAAATATCTTTCAGTGAGCTACTTATGAGGTTAAAGGAAGTAATATTTTTTAATAATTTTTAGTTTGCAAGAGAAAGTTTACAAAGTGATAAAGTTATGTGTTGAGTGGTTAATTTTGGTAACTGTGGACAATATCTCGGAATGGCCAATGTTGAAAATCGTTTTAAACTTATTTAATGGATAAAGACCTTAACTATAATAGTAAATCTTAATATCTTACAATGGAATGCTCAAAGTGTTAAGCCTAAACTAATGTCCTTAGAGCCTTTATTAACTCTGGAAAAAATACATATCGTAGCCTTTAGCGAAACTTGGTTAAACTCTGAAACTTATATTAAAATCAAAGATTATAATATTTACCGTAATGATAGAGATGACTCTTATGGGGGTGTTGCTGTTTTAACGCACAAATCTCCTAAAACGGTTAGGGGACATTTACAACTAACTAATGATGGTATAGAAGTTATTTATATAAAAAAAATTTAACTGTCAGGATTTAGAGAATATCGTTTCTATCTATTGTCCATCGCCAGTGCGACTTGCCAAAGAAATTGGGATGAATTAGTTTCTACATTTAGTTGTAAAACCGTAATAATTGGGGACTTCAACGCTCACCACTTAAGCTGGTCGTACAAGACTGATAACAGGGGTTCACAAATATTTGACGCGCTTTTAGGTACTAACTTTGCTATATTAAATAATGGAGAAAGCACTCGAATTAGATTCGTTAATAGAGTCTTACAAGCGTCATCTCCTGATCTATCGCTTATGACGTCGGATATCGTCCATAAATTTAATTGGAGGGTACTTCGAGAGACTTTAGGTAGTGATCATCTTATGATTAAAATATCATGTTTATGTCAAAAGCGGTTAGAGTGTGATCTTAAAACAAATTTTAAAAAAGCAAACTGGGACGGTTATAAGAGTACTCTTGAAACACTTTTTGATCAGTTCCCAATACGCACAATCGACCTTCAAAAATGTTACAATATATTTTTGAAATATTTAAATTTAGAAGCTGATATTCATATCCCTTTTATAAAAATAAATCAAAACCCAGAGTCTAAATTTGTACCGAAGTCTTACTGGGACGTAGTATTATCGAAATCGGTAGCTATTCGTAGACAAGCACTGGCTAGGTTTAGACGTAACTCAACACCTCAGAACTTATCTGTACTCCAAGAAAAAATCAGAGACACACAGAGGTTAATTCGTCAGGCTAAATTACGTAATTGGCAGAGGTTTTGTGTTTCGGTAAATGAAAAAACAACCACTAGGGATATGTGGAATAAGGTGAGATGGATGAAAGGTTTTAGGTCACATAATACCCACCATATAGACAAAGAAAAAGCAGAAATACTTCTTCGCAGTCTAACGCCAGATTTTGTTTCACCGGAAAAGGCTAGTTTCAGTTCTAATAACAAGTTACTGGTGGAAGAGGTCTCGATTCAGGAGCTTGACACATGTATTAAATTAAAGGATCCTCCTGGATGCGATGGCATAGCATATTCAATGTTGAAACACTTTCCGTTTAAGGGCAAATGCATTTTAATCAAGCTGTATAACGCTTTTCTTAACAACAGTTTCGTACCATCACAATGGCGAGATATTGGTATTAAAGCAATCCCAAAGCCTGGAAGAGACATTAATGATGTATCGTCCTTGCGCCCAATATCACATATGTCTTGCTTATGCAAAATCTTTCATTCAATTATTAAAGGGAGACTAGAGTGGTTTCTGGAAAAAAACAAATTCTTTTCTTCTAATACGTTCGGTTTTAGGAGAAGCCGATCCTGCTTAGATAGTCTTAGTAGTTTGGTATCAAGGATACAAATAGGGTTTTCAGAGAATCAGTCCACGATAGGATGTTTCTTAGATTTAGACAACGCGTATAATAAGGTTGACATAAATGCATTACTGTACACTTTAGATCAACTAAACGTAGGAAAAAAAATTTGTCAATATCTTAGTAGTTTCCTTAATAACGACATCTACTAGCTACTCTTAATGTATGTAAAAGCGTAAGCGCGTCAAAAATGTTTATATCTCTCAATATGCGGATGATTTTGTTATATATAAAAATTGCGACAGTATCAGTAACGGAGTTATTGTTATACAGTTATCTCTGAATACTCTTACTGGTTTATTTTTTACGTTAGGCCTAGAAATATCTTCATCGAAAAGTAAAGTATGCATATTTAAGAATGGACGCGTAAGGGAATGCATAAATATAACGGTTAACAAGAGAAGCCTTAAAATCGTTGAAAGCATTAAATATTTAGGGTTATGGTTAGATCGATCTCTTCGATGGAACAAGCACATAAATGAAATAAAAAAGAAAGCCCTTAAGTTTGTAAATATTTTGAAAGTTTTAATAGAACCAGGTTAAGGAGTACACCCGATTCAGCTACGTCGCTTATATATAGCTATTATACGGATTAGATGGGATTATACCAGCTTTTTATTTGATAATAGCCATAAAACACATCTTATAAAATTAAACGTAATACAAAATCAGTGTATGCGGTTAATTGGTGAGTTTGTCAAGAGCATTCCTATCCATGTAATGGAATCGGAACTGCTTTTACAGCCATTATTTATTCGGAGAAGATATTTAGCTGGTAAATTTTGGTTAAAGTGTAGGTCTATTGATGAAAATATTGTGACTAATTTTATTATGTATTCTTGATGAACTTAAAGAAAGCTTTTATTGGCGACGTAGAAAAACCCCACTGCTAGTTACAATCTATAGATTATTTAAAGAAACTCGTATGTTTTCAAGTCCTCACTTAGAAATGTTTTCACTCAATTCGTGGATTGAGGGATTATTGAATCGGACAAATCCAACTTAGCAAGTTGGATTTGTCCGATTCAATAATCCCTCAAATAGAATTTGTAAATGCGCCTAAACATAAATACAATCCCCATTACCTATGAATTTTATGTAAAATATTTAGCTGAAAACTTTACAAATTATTATAAAGTATATGCTGATGGCTCTAAGGATAAAGAAGGAACGTGGTGGGAGGAAGGAAGGAAGGAGGTGCTGCATTTTTAGACATTCAAACCAAAGAATATGTTAAGCTATGCTTAGGTAAGGAAATTTCAGTTATGCATGCGGAACTCATTGCAATTGCAGAAGCTTTATCTTATGTCAAGTCACTTAAGTATGATAAATTGTTGATATTAACAGATTCTAGCAGTGCCCTTCAACATTTAAAGAAATGTACTTCAGTGTCTCGCGGTTTTCCATTGGCTTACGACATATTAAGTAATATTGTAACGTTAAAATCTAACAAAAAAAGCATTGTCTTACAATGGGTGCCTTCCTATATTAGCTTAGAGGGAAGTGAGGCAGTAGACTTTCTTGCTAAAGTGGCGATAAGTGATGGGGAGAATTTCGATTGTGTACCTTATTTGTCTGAACTCCTATCTAAAATTCGTGAAAACTGCACAGAAAAGTGGTCCGAATACTTTGATGAAAGGTCACTGTCAAAAGGTATTTGGTACAAGATGATACAACCGCATCTTTCCCGCTTCCTTTGGTTTGAAGGATGCAATATGGGAAGGCAAGAAATTATTACAACAATGAGGCTTCGTTCCGGACATGTACCATTAAACAAATTTGCGTTTGTAATGAGAAAAGTGAAGTCACCAAATTGTGACAAATGTGGAGTTGTGGAAGATGTTATTCACATTATGATGGAATATGAACGGAACGAAGCATACAGAAAGCAATTAGGTTTTGACAAAAATAGTGTTGGACTATATAATTGTATCCTAGCTTTTCCATTGTCGGATAAAGCTAGGGAACTTTATAAACTTGTATTATTAGGTATTAAGAACAGGTAATCTTTTGTTTCCGTGAATTTATCATTGTCTGATTATGTGTTTGATTGTATACCTATGAGGGTGACTTGATCTAGTAGATCTAACCAACTATAATAAATAAAGATTAAAAAAAAACTATTTAGAGACTACATCCTTGTCGTTATCTAAATCTTGTTATATTTGTTAGTCCTCTTAAAACGATAAAGTACCTAAAAAAGTTTTAGTAAAGAATTAAAACC